CCAGACCATTATTCCTCCTCCACCACACCTCCAAAGCCTATTCCCCCTCAGAAGACTGAAAAGATTTGGCATGGGTCCTCAGATCCTCAAAGAATTATACAGCTGTACCATCGAGAGCATCCTGACTGGTTGCATCACCGCCTGGTATGGCAACTGCTTGGCCTCCGACCGCAAGGCACTACAGAGGGTAGTGCGTACGGCCCAGTACATCACTGGGGCCAAGCTTCCTGCCATCCAGGACCTCTATACCAGGCGGTGTCAGAGGAAGGCCCTCAAAATTGTCAAAGACTCCAGCCACCCTAGTCATAGACTGTTCTCTCTGCTACCGCACGGCAAGCGGTACCGGAGTGCCAAGTCTAGGTCCAAAAGACTTCTCAGCAGCTTCTACCCCAAGCCATAAGACTCCTGAACAGCTAATCATGGCTACCCGGACTATTTGCACTGCCCCCCCACCCAATCCTTTTTACGCTGCTGCTACTCTGTTAATTATTTATGCATAGTCACTTTAACTCTACCCACATGCACATATTACCTCAACTACCTCAACTAGCCGGTGCCCCCGCACATTGACTCTGCAACGGTACCCCCCTGTATATATAGCCTCCCTACTGTTATTTTATTTGACTTCTGCTCTTTTTTTTCTCAACACTTTTTTTGTTGTTGTTTTATTTCTCAAGAGTTGTTTAAAATAAATGCACTGTTGGTTAAGGGCTGTAAGTAAGCATTTCACTGTAATGTCTGCACCTGTTGTATTCGGCGCATGTGACCAATACAATTTGATTTGATTTGATTTGATTTAATTTACAGTTGGCACTATGCATTCAGGCAGGTATCATTCTCCTGGCATCCGCCAAACCCAGATTTGTCCGTCGGACTGCCAGATGGTGAAGCTTGATTCATCACTCCAGAGAACGCGTTTCCACTGCTCCAGAGTCCAACGGCGGTGAGCTTTACACCACTCCAGCCTACGCTTGGCATTGCTCATGCTGATCTTAGGCTTGTGTGCAGCTGCTCGGCCATGGAAACCCATTTCATGAAGCTCCCGATGAACAGTTCTCGTGCTGATGTTGCTTCCAGAGGCAGTTTGGAACTCTGTAGTGAGTGTTGCAACCGAGGAGAGACAATTTTTTATGCACTTGACAGGGGACAAATAAGCCTATGAGCAAATTGAAGAGATGGGCATAAGGCCTCAATAAAGTCTGTAATAAGACTTGTAATAAGGCCTGTAATAAAGTATGACTCTGCTTACCACATTCAAGTCGGGGAGGAGACTGATGGCACTGTGGCTAAAATGTTTATTCTCTACTCTTGTTTTCCACAAGTAACTCTTATTTTTTTAAATAGTAGAATGGAATTCCCTTACCTTTTCATATTATTTAACCTTTTACTGCAGTGGGCTAAATCAGGGTCACACGGAGTGTTTCCTGGTAGTCTTAAACAATTCTACTTTGAAACAAAAGTATACACCTCACACACATGGTTATGTGCTTAAAAAAAGACACCTGTACCATGTCAGATATAGAGTTGAAATGTATTCAACATTGAGTTTGCATACCAATATTACACTTTATATACATCATAGAAGACTGAAATATAACAAAACTGTTTGACAGACGCTCCGGATTTTCAGCGAGTTTTTTAAAATAGTAGTGTTTCTTTGCAGCAATTCGACCATGACGGCCTGATTCACACAGTCTCCTCTGAACAGTTGATGTTGAGATGTGTCTGTTACTTGAACTCTGTGAAGCATTTATTTGGGCTGCAATCTGAGGTTTGTAACTCTAATGAACTTATCCTCTGCAGCAGAGGTAACTCTGGGTCTTCCTATCCTGTGGTGGTCCTCATGAGAGCCAGTTTCATCATAGCGCTTGATGGTTTTTGCGACTGCACTTGAAGAAGCTTTCAAAGTTCTTGAAATGTTCCGTGTTGACTGACCTTCATGGCTTAAAGTAATGATGGACTGTTATTTCTCTTCGCTTCTTTGAGCTGTTCTTGCCATAATATGGACTTGGTCTTTTACCAAATAGGGCTATCTTCTGTATTCCACCCCTACCTTGTCACAACACAACTGATTGGCTCAAACACATTAAGAAGGAAAGAAATTCCACAAATTAACTTTTAACAAGGCACACCTGTTAATTGAAATGCATTCCAGGTGACTACCTCATGAAGCTGGTTGAGAGAATGCCAAGAGTGTGCAAAGGGTGGCTACTTTGAAGAATCTCAAATCTAAAATATATTTTGATTTGTTTAACACTTTTTTGGTTACTACATGATTCCATATGTGTTATTTCATAGTTTTGATGTTTTCACTATTATTCTACAATTATTCTTGTAGAAAATAGTAAAAATAAAGAAAAACCCTTGAATGACTAGGTGTGTCCAAACTTTTGACTGGTACTGTACATCTTATTCATAAACACTGCTCAATCTTATAGTACAGGTGAATAATTATTTTACTTAGTGAATTGGAGGCCCCAGGCAGAGGCCAGTCTGTGTACTTAGTGTGCCGCCCAGTTCTGAATTGATGCCCAATTTCACTGGGTTATGGTCCTGGGTCATCATGCGGGTGGGCGCCTCCCAATCTAGCTGGAAGTCCTCTCTCCCTCCACTTTGACTGAACCAAGTTATCCACCTATCCTCGAGGGGAGGATGGGGGTCTCAAACAGAGTTTCTAAAACATGTTTTATTACTTGTATTTTCTAAAATATTATGCCCAGTTCACGAGGCCCCTGATGATGTGAGACCTGAGGCAATTGCCTCTTCTGCTTAATGGTAAGTCCGCCACTGGTAGCCTCAACATCCAGTGTTTATACCTTAGGGATAGTCTACTGACCCAGCTCCTCTTTGGAACAGTCTGCAAGTGTGAGCAGCAAGGAGGCCTACATAAAATGGTTGTCTTTTTAAAAGACTTAAACCATCGGGAAGGTGAGCAAAATGAATCTTTATAGGCTAAAGTGTCTCTGTGTTTGTTGTTATTTTGTATGTTGGTCTATTTGCATAATGTAGTCTAACATCATATGGACAATGGACAAACGAAGGTCAGTGTCAAATGACAATAAATCAGCTCTCCTCAATGAGAGACTGATTTACAAACCAAAACAAATCTAACAAACAAGCATCACAAGCATTACTAACAGATTGGATTATATTACATTTTAATGTGCACAGCGTGATGTGAGATTGTACAGTAAAAGCAAGGGAAGGAAAATGTCATTTTAATATAAAAATACATATGACCTTTTTCATTCAATCAAGCAACGTGCTAATATTTACCATCCTCACAGAGAGCATGTAGGAAAAACGTGACAATCAAAATGTGCTTCCCAAATGGCACCCTATTCCTTATATAGTGCACTGTATAGGGAATAGGCTGCCATTTGGGAAGCAAACAAATTGAGCTTCATGTCAGTATAGAACAAAAACATGCCCCCATTCGCTATCAAACAGCAGTGATTTCAGAGGTGGGAGACCTATTAGCTGATAGTCCTTGGTTGGCAGTGTCGACAGCACAGGTGTCCCGGCGGCACCTTAATTGGGGAAGATGGGCTCATAATAATGGCTGGAACGGAATAAATGGTATTGAACACATTCCATGTGTTTGATACCATTCCATTTACTCCATTCCAGACATTATTATGAGCCGTCCTCCCCTCAGCAGCCTCCTGTGGTCGACAGTCAATAAACAGAACTCTACACCAGACCAAACTATTCAATCAGGGATTAAACTCAAAACTCATTGGGGAATAAAAAAAAGAAATGAAAAAAAAGACATGACAATGCAACTCAAAATGTGCATACATTGGGCAAACAAAGCACAAGATCCCTAGGTGTGAATGCAATGAAACAAAGTTCAAGTGATATTTCTCTGAGATTCAAAGGCAAACATTCTCCGTCACATAGAAAAACAGTATATACCATGAAGGCTGTTTCGATCGAAGACTTGATTGTTGTCATAGAATTTTGTCTCTCTTGCTTGGATTGGAGCTGGAACAGAACAGAGTGTTGATGGAGAGAGTGATTTTGATATCATTATGTGGTACTGGGCTGAGTAGAATGCAGGCTCTGTGAGCGAGGTTGTCTTATAGCTGTCTGTCTGTCTGTCTGTCTGTCTGTCAGGGCATACAGAATGACAGCAGTGTGTTGGTTGGCTCGGTGGCTTTGTAGAGGGGTGGTGATGCATGCAGAAACAAGGGCAGGTCCAGTGTTTCAGACTGGGAGGCAGGGCAGGCATAGGGGGGTGGAGGGTGTGAGAGGGGGTCAGGTGGGGGTAGGGGGACTGAGAGGGTTTTGGCTCTAGGATTTTGTGCTGTGTCAGGTGGGATTTGTCAACTCTCTCCAAACAGGCATAGGGATATCCCTTTCCTTTCCCGCACCCAAACCATTACCCTCCCAAAAATAGGCACACAAGCCCAGCAGAGAGGACACCAACATCCATCATATGAGCCTATCAATCAATTAACTAACTAATCAAATCAGTCAATAATTCAATCAATCATACCCTTCATTCAACAAGCTATAATCATAGAGTGGATCACACAACATTTCGGAACAATGGAAGGAATAATGGAGTGGGGATGGGGGTGGGGTTAGGGGGGCTAGCGTGGTGGTGCTCCTGCAATGATAAACAACCCTAACAAAAAAACTAAATAAAAACAAAGACCCCAAGGAATGACCCTCGACATAATCCTGTGTCCCTGTTGGTTAAACCAGCACTGGAGAGAGAAACCATCGTCGTCGAGGGAGACGGAGAAAGAGCGGCGGGACCAGGTGCTCTCTCTGTGACTCTACCCCCTCAACGCCAACATCCCGCCCACAGCTCTAGAAATGTCTCACCTCTTCTTTTATCAAAAAGGTTGCTCCCTCTCTTTTATTTCTGTTTCTTCAGGTCACTTCTCTCCCTTTACAATCTGTTATGGTTTCCAGCCCTCACCTCATTCCCACCATCCTCCCCTCCCCTCATCCTCCATTACTTTTCCTCTTCTCCTTCATCCTCTTCTCTACACCTCCTTGGTGGTGCTGATGCGGACGCTGCTGAAGCACTTGCCCATGGCCTCAAACAGAGGATCGCAGAAGGTGTGGATGCAGATGGAGTAGACACGGCTGACACAGTGGATCTCGATCAGATAGCTCTTGATGCAAGGCACCACTGCCCAGATGTGGATGAATGACAGGATGGCGAAGAAGATGCCCCAGACCAGTGCCAGCGGGATGCCCACCAGGGCGGTGAGGAGACGGTAGCACCAGTACTTGGTCACTGTGAAGGTGGTGAAGCTAGCCTTCCACACGCCGTCAAAGCTGTACGTCCCTGCAGGCTCGGCGATCACATCCTCAAACTCCACCTGACGAGAAAGGAGAATCACTGAATCAATAATGGTAAATTAGACAGCCACAGTCAAAGCAACTAACATAGATAAAGAATATAACCTATATCTAAAAATTTTGCATTTGAGTTCAATATCTTCTCATTCATTTGTGCAGATGTTCTGAAGTTGCACAAGACATGAGGTACACATTTTACAAGAGATTTATGCTTCCTCATAGTGACTGGTACGGAAGGTCAAACCAGGTCAACCTCCCACACACACACCCCCACCCCTCTTAACAAACATTTTAGTGATGCCCTCCTTGCCTCTGTACTCTCTCTACCCTCCTAAAACATATTTTCACAATTCCTGACAGACAGAGCTGATACAAAAGACAGAGCCACAGTGCCAGAACTGTCTGAGTCAGAGGGCAAATAGACAGCACCATATTCCCAAGATGGTGCAACACTAACCAGTTTCTCACAGCAGGAAAATAATAATCCTGCAGCAACAGGACATTTGAATTATTGTGTGGATTATAATTCATGGACATTTTTATAGGGGTTGATAATTTTTTTGTTAGGGCAAATCAAATCAAGAAATGTTCTGCAACAACAGGGTGATCAAATGAAGATCCCACATCTGTACATGAAGACTCTAGTCAAGAGTGGGCGGATGGGCCCCAGGTAAACCATGAAATGTATTTATTTTCAGTGTAAAAATACTTCTTAGGTGGTCGACGGGTTTGCTACGTGCCTCCCAAGTACCCATGACCACATAGACGTTTTAGTGCAGACTGTAAAGTGGAAAAACACACACGCATATTATACACACACACGCATGCTAGCACACTTGCTCTCTCTCGCTACCTCACTACCCCTCTCTCGCTACCTCTCTTTCTCTTTCACTCTCCCCTTCGCTACCAGGCCCATGATAGAGCAAATATTTATTTTACAGTTACTTAATTGCGTGTATTTTGTCTGCGAGAGAAGTGTTGCTGTCAGAGGGTTTAGCATCACCTGTATCTAGTGCAGAGTAAAAGTGCATTTTCGATATCAAATTGAACGTTTTTTTCAGGAGACATTCCTACCAGTTCTTACTGTGTACACAAGGGACTTCCTAAACTGAACAGGCTAAACTTATAGCATAAAATAACAGTTGGTGGTATAGCCCTGCAATATAAATTGTATCATTCTTTTAAGCCACAAAACCCAGCAACGTCCATTTAATTTTCCAGAGGCGTACAACTTGAGTACTGTACTGTGTGTACCCTTACAAAAAAATGGTGACATTTGCAGTTTCACATGTGAAAATTGCGTTTTTACATGTGAAATGGTTGTTTTCAAAAAGGTTACCTAGCCTACCTGAGTATAATAATACAAGTGCGTTAAGAATAATTATTTATTATTTCTGAGCCATCCACTCCATTATTATGGTGTTGCATTGATATACATGTATACTTAGCGCTACCACTAGGTGGAGGCATTCGGTGTGTTACTGCTGCAGACGCGTGCCTCAGTTCTTTGTATGTCGCTCTGTGACAGTTTTTTCCGCTTTGTACGCATGGTTACGTTTTCAAAATCTAGAGATAGCATGTTTAACTAAACTTTGTTTTTTGGTTTTTTTTAGAATGTATAATTTAAATGTTTTGACTGAGTGAAAAACAAGTAAGATTTTCCCATTTACACGACTACATCCAAGCTAAGTAGCTAGCTTTGTATAGAAGTCAATGAGAACAAGATGGCGTTTTGGATGATTTTTTATTTCCGTTATAAATGTTTTGGCAATTAAATAGTTTTATTTTTACAAACGACGGCTCATATTGAGTGTATTTACATGTACATATGAACCACACTAATGATATGTATTTTAGAAGGTTACTTTTAATGAAATGTGTATCTAATGTTCACATGCCAATTGCTAATCGCTAGCTAGCTCAATGATAGGCGATAGCTAGCCTACCATTTTGTCAAAAAAGTATTTGAATGTATTTGAAAATCTGTGAATGTGTATGCTATTGGAATTAATGTTAACAGATGCTTTCCTACAAAGAGATTATTTTTAATTAGAGCTGTCAGAGTTAATCAGTTAACTTGAGTTAACTTTTTGTAACTTTAGTGCACACTTTTTTTTTTATCGTAATTATTTGCATTGTCTGAAAGGGTTTGAAATACACTTAAAACATTGCCTATACAACAATGTGATCTCAATACAAGTTGACATTGAGGTTAAAGAAAGTGTGCTTTATCAATTTACCTGATTTTGCTAACCTTTACTTTGGACATTTTACATATTTAGCAGATGCTCTTATCCAGAGCGACTTACAGTTAGTGAGTGCATACATTTTCATACTGGCCCCCCGTGGGAATCGAACCCACAACCCTGGCGTTGCAAGCGCCATGCTCTACCAGCTGAGCTACACGGGACAACATTTATATAAAACAAATCTTAAATGACAGCTTAATTTGAGCAAATTCCAAATCTTGTGATTAACTCAATTACATTTTTAAACGTTTGACATTTTTCACGTGATTTGTTCATACGTGTGTTTATACAGTGCCTACGGAAAGTATTAAGACCCCTTGAATTTTCCCACATTTTGTTACGTTACAGCCTTATTCTAAAATGGATTAAATAACAACAATTCCTCAGCAATATACACACAATACTCCATAACGACATGCATGTCAGAGTGAAAACCAAGCCATGAGGTCAAAGGAATTGTCCGTAGAACTCCGAGACAGCATTGTGTCGAGGCATAGATCTGGGGAAGGGTACCAAAACCTTTCTGCAGCATTTAAGGTCTCCAATGAACACAGTGGCCTCCATCATTCATAAATGGAAGAAGTTTGGAACCAGCAAGACTCTTCCTAGAGCTGGCCGCCCGACCAAACTGAGCAATCGGGGGAGAAGGGCCTTGGTCAGGGAGGTGACCAAGAACCCGATGGTAACTCTGACAGAGCTCTAGAGTTCCTCTGTGGAGATGGGAGAACCTTCCAGAAGGACAACCATCTCTGCAGCACTCCACCAATCAGGCCTTTATGGTAGAGTGGCCAGACGGAAGCCACTCCTCAGTAAAAGGCACATGACAGCCCGCTTGGAGTTTGCCAAAAGCACCTAAAGAGTCTCAGACCACGAGAAACAAGATTCTCTGGTCTGATGAAACCAATATTTGAACTCTTTGGCCTGAATGCCAAGTGTCACGTTCGGAGGAAACCTGACACCATCCCTACGGTGAAGCATTGTGGTGGCAGCATCATGCTGTGGGGATGTTTTTCAGCGTCAGGGACTGGGAGACTAGTCAGGTTTGAGGCAAAGATGAACAGGACAACGACCCTAAGCACACAGCCAAGACAATGCAGGAGTGGCTTCGGGACAAGTCTCTGAATGTCCTTGAGTGGCCCAGCCAGAGCCCAGAGCCCAGAGCCCAGACTTGAACCTGATCGATCATCTCTGGAGAGACCTGAAAATATCTGTGCAGTAACGCTCCCCATCCAACAGAGCTTGAGAGGATCTGCAGTGAAGAATGGGAGAAACTCCCGAATACAGGTGTGCAAAGCTTGTAGCGTCATACCCAAGAAGACTCGAAGCTGTAATCGCTGCCAAAGGTGCTTCAGTAAAGTATTGAGTAAAGGGTCTGAATACTTATGTAAATGTCATATTTCCTTTTTTTTTTTTTTTTTGCTAACATTTCTAAAAACCTGTTTTTGCTTTGTCATTATGGGGTATTATGTGTAGATTGATGAGGGGGGAAAATGATTTAATCAATTTTAGAATAAGGCTGTAATGTAACAAAATGTGGAAAAAGTCAACGGGTCCGAAGACCAGAAGTATTTTTTCTCACGTTTTTTCACGTAATTTTTGTAGGTATTTTTTTATGTAAGGGTAAGACACAGACACAGAGTTTTCATAATTTTGAATGGAAAATAAATGAGAGCTCTGTGCAGAATGTTAATGTAAATGTATTATTTTGGGTAATAAAATATGAATATTTTAATTGTAAGTGAGAGTGCCTATGTTTTTTTGAAGCCCAATTTAGAAAGACATAAACATAAGATCACAAGATGGAAAATATTTGGTATTAATAGAGGGTTGTTATCACAGTGGCTTGCTAAAGTATTCACCCCCCTTGGCATTTTTCCTATTTTGTTGCCTTACAACCTGGAATTAAAATGGATTTTGGGGGGGGTTTGTATCATTTGATTTACACAACATGCCTACCACTTTGAAGATGCTAAATATTTTTTGGGGTGAAACAAACAAGAAATAAGACAAAAAAACAGAAAACTTGAGCGTGCATAACTATTCACCCCCCCAAAAGTCAATACTTTCTAGAGCCACCTTTTGCAGCAATTACAGCTGCAAGTCTCTTGGGGTATGTCTCTATAAGCTTGGCACATCTAGCCACTGGGATTTTTGCCCATTCTTCAAGGCAAAACGGCTCCAGTTCCTTCAAGTTGGATGGGTTCCGCTGGTGTACAGCAATCTTTATGTCATACCACAGATTCTCAATTGGATTGAGGTCTGGGCTTTGACTAGGCCATTCCAAGACATTTAAATGTTTCCCCTTAAACCACTCAAGTGTTGCTATAGCTGTATGCTTAGGGTCATTGTCCTGCTGGAAGGTGAACCTCCGTCCCAGTCTCAAATCTCTGGAAGACAAACAGGTTTCCCTCAAGAATTTCCCTGTATTTAGCGCCATCCATCATTCCTTCAATTCTGACCAGTTTCCCAGTCCCTGCCAATGAAAAACATCCCAACAGCATGATGCTGCCACCACCATGCGTCACTGTGGGGATGGTGTTCTCGGGGTGATGAGAGGTGTTGGGTTTGCGCCAGACATAGCATTTTCCTTGATGGCCAAAAAGCTCAATTTTAGTCTCATCTGACCAGAGTACCTTCTTCCATATGTTTGGGTAGTCTCTCACATGCCTTTTGGCGAACACCAAACGTGTTTGCTTATTTTTTTCTTTAAGCAATGGCTTTTTTCTTGCCACTCTTCCATAAAGCCCAGCTCTGTGGAGTGTACGGCTTAAAGTGGTCCTATGGACAGATACTCCAATCTCCGCTGTGGAGCTTTGCAGCTCCTTCAGGGTTATCTTTGGTCTCTTTGTTGCCTCTGATTAATGCCCTCCTTGCCTGGTCCGTGAGTTTTGGTGGGCGGCCCTCACTTGACAGGTTTGTTGTGGTGCCATATTCTTTCCATTTTTTAATAATGGATTTAATGGTGCTCCGTGGGATGTTCAAAGTTTCAGATATTTTTTTATAACCCAACCCTGATCTGTACTTCTCCACAACTTTGTCCCTGACCTGTTTGGAGAGCTCCTTGGTCTTCATGGTGCCGCTTGCTTGGTGGTACCCCTTGCTTAGTGGTGTTGCAGACTCTGGGGCCTTTCAGAACAGGTGTATATATATTGAGATCATGTGACAGATCATGTGACACTTAGATTGCACACAGGTGGACTTTATTTAACTAATTATGTGAATTCTGAAGGTAATTGGTTGCACCAGATCTTATTTAGGGGTTTCATAGCAAAGGGGGTGAATACATATGCACGCACCACTTTTCTGTTATTCATTTCACTTCACCAATTTGGACTATTTTGTGTATGTCCATTGCATGAAATCCAAATAAAAATCAATTTAAATTACAGGTTGTAATGCAACAAAGTAGGAAAAACTCCAAGGGGATGAATTATTTTGCAAGGCACTGTAGGTGGAGCGGACAACCCCTGCCTAGCTCTGCTTCCTCCCACCTAAAGGGGTTTCATGTGTCTTTAATTGATTGAATTGAAATTGTTGCTTAATAAATCATGTTGATTTGGGGCCTTTGTTTGCACCCCGCCTGGACAATCTAAGGGAATCCCTGACTCAGCTACTCCATTGAGCCTGAACATCTTAATTTCCCACTATAATGTGCCTTCCACCTCCCGGCATACTGGAGAATTTGGCAGGGTTAGCTGGTGGCTGGTTAGCGAGCCGATCACTGCTGTGATGTCCGTGCGGCGTGGCTTTGGGTGTGTCTGCTCTACCCAGCTTAGCCCCATCATGGTTTAACAGAAGGCTGCCTGGCTTTAGGCCCACTGCTAGAGCCACTCCACTCCATTGACTGGGCTATATAAAGAACTCAGCTTTATGAGAGGAAAATATTATATTCCCAGGGCAAACTCTGCATGGATTCCAGTGATGTTGATTCTTTGATGTGGTCAGTTGAGTGCAGCTGCCGACATTCTAACTATAAGATCACTGCTAAAGAAAGTCAACAGTCTACTGGTTCTGCAGAAGGAGAGTAGTGTGTGTGTGTGTGTTTGTGTGTGTTTGTGTGTGTGACTGTATGTCTGTATGTATGCGGGTCTGTTGTGTGTGTGTGTCCCTTACAAAAAAAAAACATGTGAAATAGCTGTTTTCACATGTTGAGCTTAACTTTCACATGTGAAACCATATTTTCCACATGTGTTACATTTAGAATTAACATGTTAACATCACCTTTTCACGAATGACATGTTTTCACCTCATGTGAATGGTAGTTTCAAAAATGTGTGGTTTCACATGTGAAAATCGGATATGCATTTTCACATGTGAAACACTTTCACATGTGAAAATCTCACTTTCACCTGTGGAATTGCAAGTTCACATGTGAAAATCAATTACATGAAAATCAATCATGTGAAAATCAATCACATGTGAAAATCTCACTTTCACATGTGGAATTGCATTTTCACATGTGAAAATCACATTTGTCGTTTCACATGTAAGAAAACTCCTCATGTGAAAATCTTACTGTCACCTGTGGAATTGCAAGTTCACACATGAAAAACAGTCACGTGAAAATCTCACTTTCACATGTGGAATTGGAGATTCACATGTGGGGTTGGAATAACGTTATTCTCCTCACATGAGTTGGGTTCCCTGTTATAATATTTACATATGGTTCTCTTCTCATATGACTGAACCCATTGAAAGGGGAAAGGCTAGTAGGAGAGAGGGTTTTGACTTGATTTATTAGGATCCCCATTAGCCGACGCCAATGGCGACAGCTAGTCTTACTGGGGTCCGACACATAACGAAAAATACATTACAGACAAAATACTTTACAATTGACATACATTTTAATACATTAACATGTAGTGTGTGTGTGTGTGTGTGTGTGTGTGTGTGTGCATCTATCAGTTACACATACATGTCAGTTCTTGCACACAACAAGTATGTCACATGGGGGAGAGGCGTTGTGCTGTGAGGTGTTGCTTTATAATTTTTTTGAAACCAGGTTTGTTGTTCACTTGCACTATATAAGATGGAAGGGAGATCCATGCACTCATGGCTCTGTATAATACTATACGTTTCCTTGAATTTGTTCTGGACCTAGGGACTGTGAAAAGACCCCTGGTGGCATGTCTGCTGGGTTAAGTGTATGTTTCAGTGCTGTGTGTAAGTTGACTATGCAAACAATTGGGAATTTCCAACACATTAATGTTTCTTATAAAAACAAGAAGTGATGCAGTCAGTCTTTCCTCAACTCTTAACCAAGAGAGACTGGCACGCACAGTATTAATATTAGCCCTCTGATTACAATGAAGAGCAAGACATGCTGCTTTGTTCTGGACCAGCTGCAGCTTAACTAGGTCTTTCTTTGCAGCACTTGACCATATGCCTGGACAATAACAAGAAAAAGATAAAACTAGAGCCTCTCCCCATCTTTACAATGATTTAATCTATATGTTTTGACCATGACAGTTTACAATCTAAGGTAACACCAAGTCTCCTCAACTTGTTCAACAGCCACACCATTCATTACCAGATTCAGCTGAGGTCTAGAACTTAGGGAATGATTTGTGCCAAATACAATGCTCTTAGTTTTAGAGATGTTCAGGACCAGTTTATTACTGGCCACCCATTCCAAAACAGACTGCAACTCTTTGTTAAGGGTTTCAGTGACTTCATTAGCTGTGGTTGCTGATGCGTGTATGGTTGAATCATGCTTTGTTTAATGCCAGTGGCAGGTCATTGGTATAAATATAAAAGAGTAGAAGGCCTAGAGAGCTGCCCTATGGTACACCACACGTTTACATGTTTAACATTAGAGAAGCTTCCATTAAAGAAAACCCTCTGAGTTCTATTAGATAGATAGCTCTGAATCCATGATATGGCAGAGGTTGAAAAGCCATAACACATAAATTTCTCAACAACAAGATATGGTCAATAATGTCAAAGGTTGCACTGAAATCTAACAGAACAGCTCCCATCTTCTTATTATTAATTTCTTTCAACCAATCATCAGTAATTTGTGTCAGTGCAGTACATGTTGAGTTCCCTTCTCTGTAAGCATGCTGAAAGTCTGTTGATAATTTGTTTACGGAGAATCCCTTGGCCTGCCACTGCCCCTGCAGCTATTTTCGTGTTTCCATGTTTTATGAACGCAAAGTTCACTACTTCAAATGTAGTGCACTAATTTTGACCAGGGCCATAGGGAATAGGGTGCCATTTGGGAAGCAGCCTCTGTCTTTGTGGCAGCAGCTGTTCTGTTCCCACCACATACAACAGGTGGTTTTCACTATAGCCTACATTAGCGCGCTTTCAGCCAAGCTTTCTCTCAACAAACTCATCTTTTACATACAGTGCCTTCAGAAAGGATTTATACCCCTTGACTTATTCCACATTTTGATGTGTTACTGCCTGAATTCAAAATGGATTAAATATATGTTTTCTCTCACCCATCTACATACAATACCCCATAATGACAAAGTGAAAACATGTTTTTAGAAATTTTTGAATATTTATTGAAAATGAAATACAGAAATATCTAATTTACATAAGTATTCATACCCCTTAGTCAATACTTTGTAGAAGCACATTTGGCAGCGATTATAGCTGTGATTCTTTCTGGGTAAATCTCTAAGTGCTTTCCACACATGGATTGTGCAACATATGGCCATTATTCTTTTCAAACATTTTCAAGCTCTGTCAAATTGGTTGTTGATCATTGCTAGACAACCATTTTCAGGTCTTACCATAGATTTTCAAGTAGATTTAAATCAAAACTGTAACTCAGCCACTCAGGAACATTCACGGTCTTCTTAGTAAGCAACTCCAGTGTAGATTTGGCCTTGTGTTTTAGGTTATTGTCCTGCTGAAAGGTGAATTAATCTCAAGAATGTCTGGTGGAAAGTAGACTTAACCAGGTTTTCCTCTAGGATTTTGCCTGTGCTTAGCTCTATTTTTATTTTATTTTTTTATCCTGAAAAACTCCCCAGTCCATAACGATTACAATCATACCCATAACATGATGCAGCCACCACTATGCTTGAAAATATGGAGAGTGGTACTCAGTAATGTGTTGTATTGGATTTGCCCCAAACGTAACACGTTGTTTTCAGGACAAAAAGTGAAGTGCTTTGCCAATTTTATTGCAGTATACCTTTAGTGCCTTGTTGCAAACAGGATGCATATTATAGAATATTTTATTCTGTACAGGCTTCCTTCTTTTCACTCTGTCAATTAGGTTAGTATTGTGGAGTAACTACAATGTTGTTCATCCACCCTCAGTTCTCCTATCACAGCCCTTAAACTCTGTAACTGTTTTAAAGACACCATTGGCCTCATGGTGAAATCCCTGAGGGGTTTCCTTCCTCTCTGGCAACTGAGTTAGGAAGGACACCTGTGTCTTTGTAGTGACTGGGTGTTTTGATACATCATCCAAAGTGCAATTAACAACTTAACCATGCTCAAAGGGATATTCAATGTGTGTTTATATTATTTTTTTACCCATCCAATAGGTGCCCTTTGCGAGTCATTTGAAAACCTCCCTGGTCTTTGTAGTTGAATCTGTGTTTGAAATTCACTTGCCGACTGAAGGACCTTACAGATAATTGTATGTGTGGGGTACAGAGATGGGGTACAGAGATGAGGTAGTCATGTCACTTTGACATTATGGGGTATTGTGTGCCAGTGACACAAAATCTCAATTTAATCCATTAAAATCAGGTTGTAACACAACAAAATGTGGAAAAAGTCAAGGGGTGTGAATACTTTCTGATGGCACTATAAGCACACAAAATGGGCACAGTGTGGTTTGTGTCTACTTTGGAAATAATTATTCTCTTTAATAACTCACTAATTTAATAACAGATGCGGTGTAACTTTTAAACAAGGACTGTGAGAAATGTTTTGTTCCAACAACAGGAAATTAGTAATATTTCCTCCATTCCAACACTGGAGCAAGGATGTTCCACTCTGTTCTAATGACAGCAGCCGCAGCAACATCGGCCCTCAGATCCTCAAAAAGTTATACAGCTGTAGAGCAAGGCACTACAGAGGGTAATGAGTGCAGCCCAGTACATCACTGGGGCCGAGCTCCCTGCCACCCAGGACCTCTATACCAAGCAGTGTCAGAAGAAGGCCCAGAAAATTGTCAAAGACTTCTGCCACCCAAGCCATTGACTTTTCTCTCGCTACCGCAAGGCAAGCAGTACCAGTGCACCATGTCTGGAAACAACAGGACCCTGAACAGAGTCTACCCCCAAGCCATACGACTGCTGAACAAGACTGCTAAATAGCTAATCAAATGGCTACCTGCACTAACTGCATTGACCCTTTTTTGCACTAACTCTCTTGCACTGACTCTGCACACACACTGGACTCTACCCACAAACTCACACCTACTTACACTGACACCCCAACACACACATACACACCTCAACACACACATACACTTTCTTATACTTTCATGCATTGCATTTCTGTCTGTAATAAAGCCCTTTTGATGGGAAAACGAATTCTGATTGACTGGGCCTGGCTCCCCAGTGGGTCGGCTTGGCTCCCACGTGAGTGGGCCTATGCCCTTCCAGGCCCACCAATGGCTGTGCCCCTGCCCAGTCATGTGAAATCCATAGATTAGGGCCTAATGAATTTATTTAAATTGACTGATTTCCTTATATGAACTGTAACTCAGAAAATTTATATTTTTGTTCAGTATACATAGCTACCTCAATTACCTCATACCCTTGCACATCTACTAGGTACTGGTACTCCCTGTATATAGTCATGTTATTTTTACTTGTTATTGTTATTCCCTATTCACTGTGTATTTATTCCTCATGTCACAATATGTATTTATTTTTTATTTTTTTATCTTTATCTTTAACTCTGCATTGTTGGTAAAGGACCCATAAGTAAGCATTTCACTGTTGTTTATGAAGCATGTGACAAATACATTTTATTTAGGATATGCTCTGCTGCTTACTCACAACTTTTACGCACGTGTTGAGCCCCTTCACAAACCTATTGTAAACCATTGTAAACAGGGGTCATGAACCCGAAAAAGCTCAAACTGACATATAGTATAGGTTACACGCGAGAATGCTATGCGACTCACCACCCACTTCGCATATTTTCTGCTAAATGTTTATCCTATTTTTTAATCATTTAGGGTTTTTGTGAAATTCTTGTATTCACTTAAATAGGCTTTTTTACGTTTCTATTGTTGTTGCATTGTCGAGAGGTGAACCTGCAAGTAAGCATTTTGTTGCACTGTGTACTCCACTTACATCATGTGTATCTGACCAATAAACAAACTTGAACTTGAACACACGCAGTAGGCTACATTGGTGCACCCTTGACGCACGCAGCTTACTGTGCACATTTGACTGCTCCTACCCAATAATCGTGCAAGTGACATGGTACCATGCATAATAAAACAAATGGTTGATGTGTCCAAGTACAAACCCGCCTCACATGCAATATTGGAACTGAACTATTCTAGTTTACACCATAATTTCCATGACGCACTATTTGGTCAAATAATCATGCAACCAGACCAGTCCAATAAACAAAGTAAAATAAAGTAAATAAATATGTCCAAAGTGCGTAAAAATATCGTCTACGGACTCGTTCGGATTTGAACTCACCTTGACAACGTCGTCGTTTAAGTACTTGGGGTCCCGGTTCACCAGGTCGATCTCTTTCGTGTGGATGTCCTGCATCGTCTTCATCCCGCTCATACTGTCGTTATCCATGTCTTTGTTATTAGGTTTGTATATGTTCCCTTGTTTCCTGATGAACGGCGAATGCAGAAATCCCTTGTAGTCCGGAGGGAAAGAAGAGAAGCGGGGGATAAGTTAGTGGAGAGACGGGTAGAGAGCAGAGGATAGCAGGACTGAGCGCACCAGAGTTAGCAGCCTACCCCAGCCTGATATGGTTTTAAATGGGTGCGGGAGTGCACCACACCCCTTAGTAGCAGATATCCGTCTCTCACCGCAAGGGGTCGTCACCAAGCGCTCACACAATACGTGTTAACGATGGTTATTAGGATGGCTGTATGCTCTGTACACTGAGAACCTGTCTCACATAAGGCATCGCAAGCATATTTTCACTCATGTAAACTGTCATCAAGTTTTACTGGAATGTGCATTTTTCGATTGACTTAGCTAGTCTAATAGAATTAACCTTCTAAGAAAACACAACTATGACAAACTTTGTGCGCACATAGATAATTATCTATGTGGATTAAAAAAGAAATAACGCTCAGAATGTAAGAAGTGTAGTTTATTTATTTAATTTATTTATAGGGGACAATGCACATTAATCAACATCAATATTACAATAATGCAACATCCATGTAAATGTGCCGGTGTTAGCTAAAAGCTCATTTGCACCCATAGTCCCAGGGCAGGTAAGGGCAATTACACAGCCACAATATAAAATATTCACAAAACAATACAAAATACAGGTTAATAAATAACTGTAAATGTCTCATGCCAGTGCTAATGGAACGAGAGGGGGCTTGCACATTCGCCCAGTAGGAGCGGGAGTAACGTTCACAACTAGGTGCCAAAAAAGATAACTATTGGCAAATATGCTTTGGAGTTAAAAGGTTTCCCAATTTTCCAAGGGCATTTTCGATAAATGTCAGAATGAGAATGAGCCAGAGAAACTGTATTGCTCACAGATGATGACATATCTTCTAAAAACGTACAAATACATAATAAAACAGCTATACACCGAATATGATAGGACAGCAGTGTCCAGAAGAGAACCGAGAACCATACCTCGTCAGTTTCGCCGTCCTTGAGTCCGCCAGTCATGCTGTCCCGCGCCTGAAGTGCGAACAGACCAGTGTGTTGTTGAAGCAAGACAATATCAGTTTAACAGAGGAAGTAAAGTAACAACAGGAGGCGTATGGACTATGGTGACGACTTGGAGGGCTCCTCCGGGGATATTACCAAATACTGTCGCCTTATCTTTACGTTGCGCACATTGGAAGCACAGTTTGTTAAGCCGCTGTAGAGACCTACGTGTAAATCTCGGCGCGCCTCTGCATGGACTGAATTAATGTGTTTCATATTCACTGAGCAGTCACCTGTGTACACTGTAAAACCTTTCCTGTTGTTTTTACTGTAACTTACAGGCAGCCAGTTGCCTGTAAGTTACCATAAAAAAGGTACAGTATGTTACTGTACCATATTTTACAGTATCCAATAATGTTACTGTGATCTTTTTTGCTGTCGTTTTTATGGTAGCTTACAAGCAACTGTCTGCCTGTAAGTTACTGTAAAACAACAGTACAGTGCATTACTGTAATATTTGTATGGTAATTGTAAATAATTAATTAATGATGGATAAATTAATTAAATTCATTAAGGAGATGGGGTTTGCATTTTACAGTATTTTACCATAATTGTATGGGATTGGTGCCAGCAGGTTGGCCACTTGGAATTGTGTTTACATATTACAGCAAATCAGTGAATACCAGTTTGGAAGCCTTTGTTAGGCCTCTAGAAGTGCAAGTGATATAAAATACCACACTTATGGCTCTGTTCACTCTAGTCTGTTTACATTCCTTTGTCTGATTCTCTGCCCAGGGCAACAACTCACCTTGGTTAAGAAATGACACAAGCCCCAGAGACACAACAGTCCTGTCCGGGTTGTTTTCAGCCTGGAGATAGCCTTTCGTATGGGTGTTCATGCATTGCATTCATTGTTTGATGGGTGGGGCACCACTAAAGACACTAAAACTTAATTGCATTTCCACCTCTTGATTTTAGGAAATCAGTGTGTGTGTGTGTGTGAGAGAGAGAGAGAGAAATTGCACCATCCAGTTGCCTAGAAGTTGACAGTAGCCATTCTCTAGGGAAGAGAACCGGATCAGTGGGAATCTACTGCAGAGTCAGCTGAGGTGTGTGAGACTATGCAAAATACATGCAAATGAGTCACAATCACAACACTGTCTTTAAGATATTTTAATGTCCCAAAGGAGAAAATTGTCTTTAGACACTGTACTGCTGTATACAAAGGAGGGAGACAGCTTGCTTTTTCTTACAGTGGGGAAAAAAAGTATTTAGTCAGCCACCAAATGTGCAAGTTCTCCCACTTCAAAAGATGAGAGAGGCCTGTAATTTTCATCATAGGTACACGTCAACTATGACAGACAAAATGAGGAAAAAAATTCCAGAAAGTCACATTGTAGGATTTTTTATGAATTTATTAGCAAATTATGGTGGAAAATAAGTATTTGGTCAATGACAAAAGTTTCTCAATACTTTGTTATATAACCTTTGTTGGCAATGACCCAGGTCAAACGTTTTCTGTAAGTCTTCACAAGGTTTTCACACACTGTTGCTGGTATTTTGGCCCATTCCTCCATGCAGATCTCCTCTAGAGCAGTGATGTTTTGGGGCTATCGCTGGGCAACACAGACTTTCAACTCCCTCCAAAGATTTTCTATGGGGTTGAGATCTGGAGACTGGCTAGGCCACTCCAGGACCTTGAAATGCTTCTTAAGCCACTCCTTCATTGCCCGGGCGGTGTGTTTGGGATCATTGTCATGCTGAAAGACCCAGCCACGTTTCATCTTCAATGCCCTTACTGATGGAAGGAGGTTTTCACTCAAAATCTCACGATACATGGCCCCATTCATTCTTTCCTTTACACGGATCAGTCATCCTGGTCCCTTTGCAGAAAAACAGCCCCAAAGCATGATGTTTCCACCCCCATGCTTCACAGTAGGTATGGTGTTCTTTGGATGCAAGTCAGCATTCTTTGTCCTCCAAACACGACGAGTTGAGTTTTTACCAAAAAGGTATATTTTGGTTTCATCTGACCATATGACATTCTCCCAATCCTCTTCTGGATCATCCAAATGCACTCTAGTAAACTTCAGACGGGCCTGGACATGTACTGGCTTAAGCAGGGGGACACGTCTGGCACTGCAGGATTTGAGTCCCTGGCGGCGTAGTGTGTTACTGATGGTAGGTTTCGTTACTTTGGTCCCAGCTCTCTGTAGGTCATTCACTAGGTCCCCCCGTGTGGTTCTGGGATTTTTGCTCACCATTCTTGTGATCATTTTGACCCCACGGGGTGAGATCTTGCGTGGAGCCCCAGATCGAGGGAGATTATCAGTGGTCTTGTATGTCTTCCATTTCCTAATAATTGCTCCCACAGTTGATTTCTTCAAACCAAGCTGCTTACCTATTGCAGATTCAGTCTTCCCAGCCTGGTGCAGGTCTACAATTTTGTTTCTGGTGTCCTTTGACAGCTCTTTGGTCTTGGCCATAGTGGAGTTTGGAGTGTGACTGTTTGAGGTTGTGGACAGGGGTCTTTTATACTGATAACAAGTTCAAACAGGTGCCATTAATACAGGGAACGAGTGGAGGACAGAGGAGCCTCTTAAAGAAGAAGTTACAGGTCTGTGAGAGCCAGAAATCTTGCTTGTTTGTAGGTGACCAAATACTTATTTTCCACCATAATTTGCAAATAAATTCATTAGAAATCCTACAATGTGATTTTCTGTATTCTTTTTTCTCATTTTGTCTGTCATAGTTGACATGTACCTATGATGAAAATTACAGGCCTCTCTCATCTTTTTAAGTGGGAGAACTTGCACAATTGGTGGCTGACTAAATACTTTTTTTCCCCCACTGTATCAGTGTTTATATCAGTGCAATTTGTGTGAGGTTCTGAAAAATATGCATTCTGGCTCCAGAACACACACTGAATACCCAGATGTAGAAGAATCAACCATTTCTCTTGTGCTTGGCATAGAGGAACAGAGTGAAGTAGATAAATACACTTCACATTAGACTGAAGACCTGTGACCAGGGGGGTTGTCGGGGGATTATCGTAAATCAGACACAAGAAGCACTGTAAGAATTTGTTAATTGTTCCAACTCATCATTATTAAGTAACTGATTCCACATACTTTTTCAGTTTACTCAACTTTTCGATCAACGTGTTACCTGAACTTAAAATGTTTAGTTGGCTCAACTTGTATCATATTTTCGTTCAACTAGAAATTATTATTTGGGCATCTTCGATAATAAAGACTGTGGAACTACAGTATACTGAACAAAAATATAAACCTCCACATCCGGCTTCTTCACCTGCGGGATCATCTGAGACCAGCCACCCGGACAGCTGATGAAACTGTGGGTTTGCACAACCAAATAATTTCTGCACAAACTGTCAGAAACCGCCTCAGGAGAGCTCATCTGCATGCTCGTCGTCCTCACCAGGGTCTTGACCTGAGTGCAGTTTGGCGTCGTAATCGACTTCAGTGGGCAAATGCTCACCATCGATGGCCACTGGCACGCTAGAGAAGTATGCTCTTCATGGATGAATCCCGGTTTCAACTGTACCGGGCAAATGGCGTCGTGTGGGCGAACGGTTTGATGATGTCAACGTTGTGAACAGTGACACATGGTTGCGGTGGGGTTATGGTATGGGCAGGCATACACTATGGACAACGAACAAAATTGCATTTTATCGATGGCTATTTTAATGCACAGATACACCATGACGAGATCCTGAGGCCTATTGTCGTGTCATTCATCCAACGCCATCACCTCATGTTTCAGCATGATAATGCACTGCCCCATGTTGCAAGGATCTGTACACAATTACTGGAAGCTGAAAATGTCCCTGTTCTTCCATGGCCGCATACTCACCAGACATGTCAAATAAAATCAAATAAAATGTTATTGGTCACGTACACATATTTAGCAGATGTTATTGCGGGTGT